CACAGCGGATCTCACGAGGATCCAGACGTTGCACGCATAGTTGAATCCCTTACTTTACAAGACTTGGCAGCCTCGAAACCGAGCGCCAAACAGTAGGTAGAGCCTTGAAATTCTCGAGGCTGTTTCATGACATGATGGTTCCAGGGTTACTACTGATTGAATCCATTCCTTCAAGTCTTGCAGAACAAGCTTTGTACCCACAGGACGAGTCCGAAATAACCCCTGAATCATACAGTTGACTCAGAATTCGTAATGTCAGCAGACTCAGGGACAACGGGGCAGACGTCCCGGAACTGCCTTACTCCTCCTCAATTGGGTCTCTAGCTCTTTGCCGGGACGTCTCTCCAGCTGCCCTTGAAATTCTTGCCAGAGCAAGTTCTGTCACGATACATTCAACGGTGCTCAAACCTGGCCTGACATATCGGTCTACGGTAGCATTTTTGATGCACTGTCTCCCACCACATTCGTAACCGGAGCTCGCGGGAGTAGATCAAGAATTTAGAACAGGCCACAAGTATTTGCAACGCGATTGGAGCCGTGCTCTGTTAGAGTTGCCGAATCGCACCTACCTGACCTCGACAGCAAACGGCAACTGCCTGCCAGTCTTGGAAAGAAGTGCGTGCCCTTAGACAGCCGAATCTTTTGGGGGTCGAGTTCTGCTCTCCTCCGCCCAGACACGCGGGAGCTGCAGCTACCATTCCCGGCCGAGGTGGTTTAGAGGGAACGTAAGGGGTGCAGGGGCCGGCGATGTGACGGTGACTGTCGTCAGTCTGCCTGGAAGGGGGCAAAAGAAAAGAAGCGGAAGAAAGACAAGGGCAAGAAAGAGAAGAAGCAAGAGCCCCAGACCGACTCAGATATCATTGCACCGCCTTTCGCTGCTGCACACATGTGTTCGTGTTGCGTTTGCTCCGTCGTGCCTTCGCCCGAAGGTCGACTCGAAAGCCAGAGACCGCTGATCCCTGGGCGAGCCCAAATGGCACCTGAGCTGCAACTCAAGCGCTTGTCTCGAATTCGTTGAGTGTGCCAATTCAAGAATGAGGTGTTGCGGTGGCTGAAGAGCAGCCCGAGGAGGGACAGAAGATCGAAGCCCTCAAGGCCAGTTCAAGCCCAAGCAAGTCTCACGAAGTTGATTCGACTTCCGATAGTTTCTTGGCAAATTCGAGGTGCTTGCTTGGTGTGTAGATTGTCGGAATCGGAGCTGCTCATGGCAGGCCATGGGTTTTGAAGAAGCTCGAATTCGCCCCTCGGCCTTTGGAGAGGCACATTCGATGAATGCCCGAGAGTGTTTGGATGTGCGCTCTCAGGACAAGTCCTGGAGGCCGTTGGTGGCAGTGTCGAGAAAGCGGTGCCAGTTCTTTTGGCGGATGAGTAGCTACACAGCCCAAGGCTGCAGTAGCTTCTGGAGCTTGTTGAAACCTCTGTCGGGGCAGGCGGCGCAAAGGATACTCTCGATCTGCACCGTAGCACCGAAGCAGCAGCTAAGCCGAAGATGTCGACCAGAAGTCCATATGCTGCAGCCGACGAGCCGGTCTCCCGCCACCATATCGCTCGATGCCTGCGTTGCAAAGTAAACGCCGGAACGAGGATCAAAAGCGATTCCATCCCGGGAAACTCTGGCTCTGATAGCAATGGCAGTACTAGCATGGCCAAGAGGTGTCTGGAACTTTGCTCCTCGTTCTCTGTGGCTCGGCTCCTCTGTTGCCGGCGAGCCAGGGCCGGGCTTGAGGGCGCGAGCTCAATGGCCCAGCGTTCGCCATGCAGCCATCCTCTACTCTTCCTGGTCGAAGTCGAAGATCCCTTTTGTGGTCCCTCCTCTTCGCAAGCGCCCTATGTAAAATGAGCTTTTACTCCGGCTGTTGCAACAAAGCCCCAAGTAGATGAGACAGCGCAGAAGCGAGATCATGAACCCGGCATGTAGTACTCGCATCAACAGAGAGGAAGTGAAGAAACGCGAGCGTGCGGCAACACACTGCCACGTCATGCTGCCAGATTTGCCAGCGTGAATCGCGAAGAAGGAGTGAACAACTGCATGTTGCACTTTCAAGAAGGCTGGATGAAGAGTATGGCGTGCATCTTGAGCAGATGCAGTTGCTGTTTCAGTGTCCTCATCATTTGCGGGCAGACTGAATCTGCTTCCGCTGTGGTAGGGCTTCGTGCTCTCGATATCTTTCTTTCACATGTGATTCGCCATTGCACCTGTTTCAGCTGCGCGAACCTCACGGCAGAAAAGACCGGTGGGCTACCGCATGCTGGATGCTAGTCGTCTACGTATGCCGTGATGTAGTTTCGCTGATTTAGAAATCAGGGTCGTCAACAGCCATTGCAGGGTGAAGGGTCTTGTGCAGCTGGAATGGGTGAAGTTAAGGAACGCACTTTAAAACCACCGGAATCGCAGACCTGATCCGAAACAATCGTGGAGTTCCCCCGTGTTTGCAGAACTGTCAACTCCTGTTTGAAACAAGCCCTGCAAGCAAGCAACGGCAGAGAGAGAGAGAGAGAGAGAGAGAGAAAGAAAGAGAGAGAGAGAGAGAGAGAGAGTAGCCATTTTGGCTCAAGTGCCACACCTTGTACTTGGGGGTCTGTTCGCCCTCTTGTGCCGGGGGGGAGAGGCAGGGGGTTACTCTGGGCTGTTACCCCGGAGGAGCCACCTTCGCCTTGACCCAGTGGTGCTTGAGTCTCCGCCCGCTGCCGTCTTGCTTAAGAGGCCCCTTTGCCAGCGCACCCTCCCGAACCTGACCGCGGCCCCTCCTCCGGGAGGGTGGCCCGCCAGTAGGGGGACGGAGCATACTTCAGCACTGTGGACCACGGGGAGACCTTGTCCTACTACCACCTCACGATCCATGTCGAGCTCTTCAAGATCCAAGCCGGGGGGGAAAGACAGCCCCAGAGGTGGAAGAAGCCGAATAGAGAGAGACCCATCGGCAAAGCCAGGCAGAACCAAGACGACCTGGCAGGAGCAGTGTGCAGTCGCGGAGAAACTTAAGGCCATGGGGGTGACATGTCGAGCATGCCTCGAAGGACCTTTTTGCCACAAAAGCCACGACAGTGGCGCCTCATGCTACAAACAACGTGTTGCCACGGGGGGGATCGCCAGCACGGCGGCACCCAGCAACATACGGAAGCAGAGGGACGTGGCTGATGAGCATGACCTCTACCAACCCGAAGGGGGAGGGACTTGCGAAGTCGCGGGGAGGACAAAGCCCTACTCCGACTACGTTCGCTTCGAGACTGAAAAGGGGAGAGCTCTCCTGTACGAACCAGACCCGCTGGACCGGTGGATCGGGAAGAACATCAAGAAGAACTGGAAAACGGGGAAATACAAAGACCGCATAACGGGGGAGATCCTCGACGAGGCCAACACTCAGGAGTGGGGGCAATATGTGCAAAGGCACAATGCGAGAAGAGAGACCGGCAGACAAGCCGACAAACTCGTCGACATAGTCCAGGAGGGGAACCCAAAGATCGTCGCGGAGCTCCTTTGGTATATAGCCAAACACCCGTGGAAGGTGGGGGCGATGCTAAGCCAAGCAAAGCAATGCTACAAGAACCAACCCACAACACTCACGGAGGGGGCGAAGGGCAGCAAAGCCGAGAAAAAGGGGGACAAGACGGAGAAGAAGGACCGGGACAAGAAGGACCACAAAAAGACCAAAAAGTTGAAGAAGGACAAGAAGGCCAACCAACGCGCAGTGGAGAAGAAGCGGACCAAGCGTGAGATAAAGGCGGGGAGCTCAACAGACACAGCTCACGAGGGGAAGCGGATCAAGCATGAGATGAAGGCGGGGAGCTCAACAGATATAGCCCGCGTGAACCCGACTGCGGAAGCCACGGAGAGCTTCAAAGAAGAGGAAGTGGACTGGGGCGACGACGAGGAGAAGACGACGACAACCGAAAAGCCGAGCACCGTGGGGGGCTCGAACAGTTCCACGGATGCTGGGGCGCGACCACCGCTACCAAGCCGCAGCCCAAGACAACGAGACCGAGGACGAGGTGGGGAAAGACGACCGGGGGGCACACAACGCGACCCCAACCAGGTCCGACTACTACCTGGACCCATGTGGCATGCTGTGAGACGTGTACAAGCGCATATGCGGGGTGATACCACGACGTGACCTACAAGCAATGAGCGGGGGAAGTTTCTTCAACAGTCTTTCTGCGAGCTTACAATGATGAGCCTAATTCAAGACGGGCCGCTGGAGCCATTCCGACTAACTACCAACAGGGCCACATGCCCTTGCACTTGCACAAATTGGCATTGCGTCAGAGACTTGCCGGCACCACTTTGGGGGATGACCTTTTCGCTCAGCTTTTCAACAGAAACCTAGATGGAAGCTTTTGCAACGGGGGAGTCAGCCCACAACTGTGTTCTTACTACATTATAGTCGTTGCTCGGCCCTTAGAGTGTTGTGGTTTTTTGGGAGGCGACCACCGTTTGCCAGACCATAGTGGGGGGATTTTGCCTGTCGCAGGAACTTAGGACTTAGCCCTAGGGGGCGCGGCGATGAGGCCGGGACGCGGGCTAAAGTTCAGGGTTAGGGGGGGGTTCCTGCCAGGCAAACTCCACAGCTCACACAAACCTTTGTCTTTGTTTCCCGACCTCTGACCCCACAAGCCTTCTCTACCACCACCGCGTGGGGGAGAGGGGGGCCTAAGGCCCGGGTCCGCCTGGCGGACTCAACCCTCGAAGCCGAAGCCGAAGCCGAAGAGAGAGAGAGAGAGAGGGAAGAGGCGGGGGTTGTGTTGTGTTTTAGTGTTCGGGGGGGGATCGCCAGCGAGAAAGTCGGGGACACACCCAGTAGTACAGTGCCGAACTCAGGAGTACCCCAGAAGCCGATCACTCCATAAACCAGGGGGTGGTCGGGCGGGCTTAGGCCTGTGGGTCGCACCGCGACCCTTATGCCCGGCAGAAAGAAAGAGAGAGAGAGAGAGAGAGAGAGAGAATAGAGGCAAGTCCAACGGCTCAGCTTCTTGATCTTCTTAGACTCACCCGTTTTGATCAGGGGGTGAACAAAACAGCTGCCTCCAGCTACGCGGCGCGGTCCTCGGAAGTTCGGGCTTGAGGAAGGGTGGAACTTCATGGGACCCGGGGAAGATGGAGAGCACCAACCGCTGGGGCTTGCAGGCAGTGCTGTCGAGATGGAAGCTTGCAAGGGCAGGAGCCTACCTGTGCGACTGAGGGAGATCTCCTTTGGATGAACGGATATCGGTTGCGACGGCTTCTCACTTGGATCGCGAGGGACTTACGGGGCAGAGAGCACGGTTCAAGCCACCAAAGCTCCGCGGTAAGATTAGCCATCACTGTGGGGGAGCTTGGCTCAGGGGAGGTAAATTTAAATCTTTTCCGAGCACTTATGCCTGGAAAATCAAGCTGAAACCACGGCTTCCGTGCGGACAACACGTTCGTCGCTGCACAAATCAAGAAAATTACTTTGCCAGTTGACGACACTCTTGCCCAACGCGGGGTTTTGAGTTCTTTGGAAACATGGCTCCGGCAGGCAGGGCTTGTCTTGGGACCCTTTCGTAGAACGCATGTGTTGACAATTGTGGAATGGCCATGATCGAACACTGTGAGAAGGATTCCAAAGCTCCTCGCGACGAATAAAGCTGTTGTATACACAGCCAACTCACTGGTCAGTTGATCGGCACTGGTGTTTGAGTTTTTGCTGTTGCCGCGCACTAGCGCCAGGGAGCATCACCGTCTCGCTGGCCCACAACAAGTATTTTTTGACATGAACAGTGCACAGGGAATTCTCTACCCCGAGAACCAGGCGAGGCGTGGGGGGGCGTGTGTGGGTGGGTGGGTGGGTGAATAAATGGGTGCGCGCGCGGGTGGGCAGGCGGGCGGGTGGGTGGGTGGGGTATCTTGCTGTGGCAGCTCAGCAACTGATGGTTCGCAGTCGTGCTTCGATGCCGCCGCAGGTCGTTGACAACGGTGTTTAGAGGCCTCGGCAAGACAAAAAGTCGGAAGCCAACAGGGGCCACGTTCGAATGACGCCTTTCAGCTCTGCAGGGTCCTGGGTTTCGCTTCTCAATCAGATCTGACATCAAAGTCGAAATACTTCAATCGCCGTTTTGGGGAGTGAAGCCATATCCGTGTCTCACTGGAAGCATCACGCAAGCCCATAAGTGGCTTTGACGGGGCCGCCGCAACACAGGCGAGAGTCCCGGTAGACAAAGCTGTGCAGAACGAGAGGGATCACAAGCCCGATACAAACCCTAAGCCAAGACCTGTGTGTCCTGCTTGTACCCTCGGTTACACCCTCCGTCCAGACTCCGAGGCTCAGCCTCAAGGGCTCGTAGCAAGCCGCCGAGGAAAGAGAACCTCAGGTGAGTCCAAAGATGTCCAAAGTGAGGAGAAAAGGAACGCAATCATAACGCCCTCGGCTTTTCGACGCAGTTTGCTCCTCTTCACCGGTTGCTAAAGGTTTTCATAGGCCAGACCGGACGGCAAAGCAGGTACATGCGACCAGCGCCTTGCCCAGCCTTGCGGTTCAGAAGCAGCAGTTGCAGCATTGTCCAGAAATCCGTTTCTGTTAGGAAGTTCAAGAAGGAATCCTGAGCCCGAAGGTCAGTTCGCGATCTTTGGGCCCAGTCCAACGTAGATGCAAGGAAGCAGGAGCCACCAATGTCAGTACATTGCATTTCATTTACTCGGCTATGGACGAGACGTCCAAATTAGCCGCTGGCGTCTCTGTGCTCGCGGACGGCTTGGCTGTCTCACATTACGTAGAAGCCTTGGAGGCTGGGCATGGAGGCCTAGGGGCTCAGGCCTTGCCAAGCTCCATGCACTGGTAGGCACGGACCCCAAGGAGCCCTCGAAAGACTGGACAGGCAGGTGATGGCAGGTGCAACGCATCAGAGCGAGGCAAGGCAGAGATGTAGCCACTCGAGGCTCCCAGAGAGGTGGCCACGGATGTCCAGGATGGCACGGAGGCTCGGGTCAGAATGCCTGTGGTTGTGTATAGGCGACTTGGGAACAGGGCAAGAGGAGACAAGATACTCGCGCAGGGCACCGCGCCAGACTCCCCGCCGAAGGCGGAGGATGCTGCCTTGTGGACGAACTGCCATTGCAAGGAGCTAGCTGAGCCCTCTAAAATGCTAACAGGATCCTCTCCAGTTTGGGGGTGACCTGGAACTGGAGCTAGAATCGTTGGAGGCTGCATCTTGGCAGCGAGATCGGGACCGGGGATGCCTTTGATGGATTGTGTGCTATGGGTCTCTGAGCGCGCTCTTTGACTAGACAGCTATGGGGTCTAGCTGCTGGCTGTCGGAGCAATTCCAGTGGGAACCCATCAGAGAGAGCCCTTGAAACACGTTTAGCGCTCGACTTCGTTGGCTTTGACATGCGTTGGCAACCGGCATGTCTTGCGATACGGCGCAAAGGCCGGGCCGAGGACCATTCTCCCTGTCGCCGAGCGAGGGGGCAGGCGCGGTGCGGACGCCGTCCTAAGTGTTCGAGTCTATGTCTCTATTCGGAAGATCCTGCTATGCTGAGGCAGGCGATTCCCTAGCTTGGTCAAGAAGTTGTTGCGCTTGCGCCTCTGGCATTGAACCGGCTGTCTTCATGCTGACCAGGACTGATGCGGAACAGGAAGCATCTCCGAACGATTTCTGCCGCGCCGCTGCAGACATGAGTCAATGAGGTTCATGGGAGGAGTGGAGAGTGCAGAGAACAGAAAAAACTTGAGTGGGCCCTGTTCTAGGCAGGCTCTTTGCAAGGAAATTATGCTCTTTTGAGGACTTGGTGTCAAAGTTGCATCGAGGTCTGAGCCCAGTTGCTGGGACAGGTGGCTATGCAGCAGGCGCCGAGCTTTACAAGCGGCCTGCCGCGCTGGCAGCGCTCCGGAGCTGCCAGGCTTGACGAAGAGCCTTCACTCCGTGAGTGCCTCCGACCTGAGCCCCGTGGCCTGGGCCCGGCGAGGCGGCGCCGTCTTGGGGGGGGGGGCAAAGGGGGGGGAAAAAGGCGCTGCTCCTGAGTCTCCTGACAGACGAAGAGTTCCAGTTCAGCCCTGTGGTGGTCGAGAGCCTGGCAGGCCTGGGCCTGAAGCCGTTGCACGGTTGCACGTGTTGGATTGCAAGCTATAGTGCCTTCTGCGAAAATGTCCTCAGGAGTCGCGAAAGATGCGCCAAAGCCATTCCCTCACCTAACCTCCACGAAGCAAAAGCAATCACGCGACGGCGACGAGCAGATCCAAATCCCCTCCGAGAAGGTGGTGTGCAAGAGGAGGCCGCTCCAAGCGAAACGGCAGATGCATCGTCTGTCCAACCGCCACGACTGCCGTGGCCCCACAGACCTTAGAGAGTTAACAATTTTTCATTCAGGCCGAATTAGGCATGGCAGTTCTGCGGTTGTCCGGGAGTCAGGTTTGAGAAGTCTTGGGAGCAGCCGGGAAGTACGGTAGGGAAGGTCAATGACAAGCCCAAGGGCGATTCACGAACAACAGACCGCACAGCCGTAGGAGTTTCTTGAACTGAGCCTGAGCTGAGCCTGCAAGGCATGCCTTGACACCTTGCCACGTCGGCAGTGCGGCCAAGGCCAAGGGCATGCAGCGCACTTTGTTTTGCAGAGGTCCAGGGGTCTGTCGTGGACGGAAATCTACAAGAATCATCCTGAATCTGTGCCAGACGGACTGGAATGAAAGGATCCAACTGCTTCATCCGTAGCTCTACGGAGACTTGAGCCTTAAATTGGATCCGACAATGACGCTTGGGTATGTCAGAACACCTCACAGGTTCCTCCCCGAAGAAATTGTCAGAGTGATGTTTGGCGGGCCATCATATTGAGTTAGCCATGCTGAGCCATGCTGCATGACTTGCCGGAGTAGGCACTGCTGTAGGCACGCTGGCTTTGTGCTGAATCGGGCATTCTCACGGGTGCTGGAAATGCATTTGACATGCTGCCTGCTGGCCTTCTCAGCGGTTGTGATGTGCATGGGCTTGAAGCGAGCATAAAAAGCTGTGACGATGCAGTCGTTGATCTCAAGCCCGATTATAGCTTCCGCTGAAGCTGAAGCCAGGCCATGAGCTACCGGTTTAGTTTCGCGTAGTTTTCGCTTTTTCAGGCTTCCCCAACTCCGCAGTTCATGTTTTCATAGCCGCTGCCCAGGAAATGAAGCGAATGGTTCTGCAGGTTTTCGGTAGTGGCACGGCTCCGTGCGATGGAGAAAGCCGAGGCTCGCTCCCTCGTGGAGCGATGCTTGCCACGCTTCAAGGACGCGGGGCTGTTGGCTCCGGATGGCATCACAGACGTCAAGGCCTTTGACCAATGCTGAAATGCATTGCAGCTGCCCCTGTCGCAGGTAAGAGCAATCGCGTCTCTGTGGGCTGGAATGGGCAGTGTGTACGACCTCGCGGCGGCTTGGTCAAGAAGCAACTGCCGCCAAGCGATGTCGTGAGCATGGTCAAGATTCCAGCATCTTCGCTTCTGTCACGCTGAGCATTGAAACGGTCCAGCAAATTTAGTGCCCTGCCTACCAGGTGAGCTCCAAAAATGGCATCCAGCATGTTGTGGCCAAACGAGTGCAGCTTCCGAAGCGATGCGACAGCATTGGAGACCAACGCAAGAAGGCATCAGCAGTGCTGCGACATCAGTAAGAGTGAGAATTTACTTCTTGCTGATGCGCCCAACAAGTAGCACCATTATACGAAACGACATGCGGTAGGCCGGTCTTTCTCGTTGCAATGCTGCATCGCGTCAAGTACGCCAAGCGAGCCATGCTGTCGAACCTCTTTCAATTTCTTCGACAAGTAAAGACCAGTTTCTGCCAGGACAGCTACGACGTGGAGGCTGCATTCTATCAGAAGGCAAGTGTTGCCCTCGTCAGTTGGAAGTAAGTGTGTGTGTGTGTGAATTTCGAAGCTATTCCCAGAGTATTCCCAGAGTGACAAAGCGAAGCGAGTCAGATTTTTTCTGTTCTGGTACCCGATTGCACAACCCGGCCTCGAATCGCAGGGACATGCGGAACGGTTGATTTCCGTGGGCTGCATGGTGCCTTTCCCACTGCACGTTGAGCACTCGCGTGGCGAGGGGGTGACCATCTGTATGACGAAGGTGGAAGGCCGGGTCTCGCAGATCTCAAGCGCCGACAAGCCCGCAGCCTGCGTCCCTGCGTGCAGCCCAGAGTTTTAGAGGCAAGCCGGCACATCCTCGGGGCGCAGATGCCTTCGTCTCCTGGCTCGCGCGTCTTCATGCGCACCTGGCCCTGGCTCAGGAAATCTCATCATGCGGACGTGTGATCACATGTTGTGGAAATATGTCACAGATGTGCCAAGGACTTACTGGGGCCGAAGGGCTGACGAAGCCTGCGGAGACTTGGGAAGAACTAAGCCTCTAACCCTCGTTCGCACCTGGAGACTTCTAAGATGCATGCAAGCAGAAACGAAAGCTGAGGTAGCTAAAGCGTTGCCGCCACTATCACCTCCAACGCAACCGCATACCGGGTAATTAACTGCCAGCACCACAGCATCACATGCATGCCCTCTCTAAAATTTCTCACCCGAGAATCTTCCCACAGATCAGATGATCAAGCTAAAGTGGGTACTTGCAGCTCAGGTCGGCTAAAGGATAAGAGCATCGTAAGAATATGGTAATGGGTTACACACGGAAACAAAACTGCAGAACACATGCCGAGATTGTATTTCCCACAGCCCTGCACTAGTTCATCGACTTCTGCAGGCTCCGATGCAGGCGGATTGCAGCTTCAGGGGTTCTTCGGCAGCACTGGCACGACGCCCCGGGCATGAGGGTGGCTTGTGCCTTGAAGCAAGACCAGGGCCTGTCATGTCAGGTGCTACTGGCACTTGGACACGCGACCAGACGAGCACAGGCAAGGCGGGCGGTCATAGTGGAAGGCAAGACATAGAGCTTCAGATGGTTGGTTTCGAGGAAGATGCCCTCCTCCGGCTGGATGGGCCGCCTCAAACTGGCCGCTCGGGCGATTGACCTCAGGCTCAAAGCAGCTACTTGGTGTGAAATGTTTGCGCAAGCGCTGACAGATGAAGGGGTATTCCAGTCATGCCCCACCTCTGCCTTGCCCGATGCTGTGCATGAAGTCTTCTTATGATCTTGTGTAGTGATGTTGTCCAAGAGTGGCCAGAATGGCCGTTCTGTAATTACTGTTCCGACTTGCAAAGAACATGTGCCACCGATGATGGTTTTGGCGTGAAGTGTCGAAACATCCTGACGGATTTTGATTCATGGCGAGAGCTCTCAAATTCAAGCGAATTCAAGCGAACCCTGTCAACCGAGGACACTTTGCAGTCCGCATCTGTGCAGCAAGAAGCACCCTTTAGTTCTGCTGAGAGCAACGCGCGTACTGTCCAAGGTCTGCCATGGTGATGCCAAGGGTGCAAACATCATTTATGCCAGCGGGGAAGGAGGACAGGTTCAGAATGTTGGCTTTCGGCATCTGGTGGCTTCTTTTTTTCTGGGCTGGTGATGAGCCCCTTGCAGACGGAGTCGAGCAAAGCAGATATTGGCGGAGACGTGGGGCTCATGGAAGCGCGAAGGTTGATGAAGTGTAGTTGGAAGATGTTGCAAGGTGGTTGGTTGGCGCCCATCCATTCTACTGCAGATTTCGAGCTGTTACGTATGTGACGTGTGGGTTTGGCAATGTTAAGGAGGGTGGGGGCGGGGTTGTTGATTCACAACGTGTTGAATGTGCTGCCTGGCACAAGACTGCACTCGAAGGGTGGACACCTGTATAATAGCAATTACGAAGTGACAGTGCGAGCACCACGTTGACGTCGGTCTCTTGAGTGCTCGCGCTGGTAATCTCCTTTAGCATGGCATGACCTCTCCTCATAGTCATCGCCAATGTTCGTTTTGCTAGCTTCTAGTTTCATTCTTGCATCGCCACCTCACATTCCTCTGCTGAGCTGACGTCCCATAGCCGGGTACTTCACGACTACTTCATGTGCCTGACCAGACACAAGGGTGGCACTACCCGACTTTATCCCGTCATTTCCGGAAATCAATGAGCGGGAGTCTGCTCTTGTCGTGCTTGCCATGCTTTGGAGCCCCTGGGTCATTACAGATGTGCCTCAGCAGTGACGTGCATGAGGTCTTTCGTGGTGTATGTGTTCTTCCAAGGAAAAGTTTACAGACGTTGAGGTGGCAGCGGCATCGTCGAGTCTTACTGTGTGAGTCTGTCCTTGAGACGCGTGCAGTGATTGCCCTTCTTTGCTCGAAGCTTTCAGCTTGAGCTTGAGCCCGTGGTCCACAGCCCTGTGAACTGCCTGGTGAGAGTTGCGTGATGGTGGGCACTTAGTCCGTGCTTCCACAGCTGGGTCCCAAGACCGATGAAGTTTGTCCCGCAGAGCCCGCACGGGACGCGCACTTAGCCCTAAGATGTCAGTAGCTTTGAGCAGAGGATGCACAAGATCCCTCCTTTGTTCTAGACGAGAAAAGGCCGATCATGTGCTGCTGCACGGGGAGCGCCAGGCTTCACAGCAGAGCATGCGACAGAGGTTTTTGCGTAGCTGTGACAAGTCACAGGAACAATAGAGCTCGCAGGCATAGATCCCCAGCCATGCGAGAGGGAAAAGTGAGTAAAAAACTCGTATCCCTCAAGCGTTATTTTATTCCCAGCAGTCGGCACTGAGCGAGCACGGCTTTGAACACCCTTTGTTTGAGTAGCTCGCGTCGTTTCAGTTCATGTGCCAAAAAGCATTCAGTGCAAGTTTTCGGGGTTTTTGAGCACATGTGGAAGTTCTCAACCTGCAGGAGAGGTAATACCGCTTGTGTATGACTTCCAGTACTGCGGCAAAGCTGCGGAGCCGACCTCAGCTGCCCGCACCTTCCCTAATTTTTTCTGAGATGCGGGTTTGCATGTTCTGATTGCGGAGACTTGCTGCTGTTTGTCATGCTGCAAGGTCACGAAGGATTTGGAGACTCGGCAGAATGGATGGGTTTGCGTTGGTTGGCCACGCCTTGATACAAACTCAGCCAAAGAAAGGACAGTTCGACGCCTCACGCCGTTGAGAGCGACGTGTGAACAGTTGTTTCAGCGTTTGCAACCTGAACTGAGCTCACATTGGGGAGTTTGAGAGAGGTATCTGCAAGTATTGAGTATTGCGACAATGGTGTGGCACTTCGCTCCGCCAGGCTTACTTCTTCAATGTGGAAGCACAGCCCTCTGAAGCCGAAGAAGAGCGGCTGCTGCGACTCTATCATTCGGAGCCTTTTTCCATCTTGAGACGTTGACCTCTTATAATGCACATGTCCAGAGTCTCGAGCCGCAGATCCATGGTATTAGCTGAGCCGAAATTATCGCCAATTGTGCCTAAGTTGCATCTCCAAAGCCATGCCTTCTCCGCACCCCTTGTGCCAGGAGCTGACAAAGCTTCTTGGAGCCCAGGGAGACGTCCCGCCCGAGCTCGCGGCATTGAAAACCTCGCTGGAGCACCATGGATGCACGGGATTTTGAGGAGGGGAGAGAGTAAGACTAAGTCTAAGTTCTCTTTTCCAAAAGGCCGGGGTAAGAGAAAACACATCTCACACGAGCACCCGACTGGGCCGGTGGTCGGCGCCACGCAGACCACCAAGCCCACCCTCTCGCAGCTAGAGTCAGCTAGAGGACAGTCAATATTCATGGAGCTGTTCCGGGAAGAAGAGCGCAACCCCCAGCAAAAAGAGGGATCGTGGAGGAGAAGACGAAGAACAAGAGAGATAGAAAGCCCTAGTTTCTGCCATTTCATTTCGGTCATAACATCACCTTACTTCAGACCCCTCTAACAGCCTGCAAAAAGCGGGCGGGCCTTAGCGCCCGGGGCCTTGAGCCTGGGAGAAGAAGAGAGCATGACAGCTTGACAGTCCTGCGATTCGGCTTCATAGTACGTCATGTGCAGTGAGTTGATACTGTACAGTCTAGCTAGATGTCGGTTTAGACACGTGTACCTGCCGTGGCTTGAGTTTGTCACCTTGCTTCCCATACAATACGGGGGTTGAGCGTGGGGGCAGAGGAAGCTCTCTGCCTTCTACCTTCCGAAAGCAAGACAGAGAGAGAGAGAGAGAGAGAGATACACACATATGTATAAATATATATATATATATATATATATATATATATATTTATAAGCATGAACCTATATAATCCTACATATATATATATATATATATATATATATATACATATTTTTATGTATATGTACAGTTACAAGTATACATATATATATATATATATATATATATATGTACATATGTATATAGATATATGTATGTATATATCTCTGCGTGTTTGTGCGCGTGTGCTGGGTGGTGGTGTGGGTGCGCATTGAACACATCTCCATGTGCACATAAGTACATGTGTGTTTGGGATGTATGTATATATATATATATATGTGGAGAGGATGCCCATATGGTCCCTGCACTCATCATTCAAATGATGCCGCCTATCGTAAGATTCAATACACGTGTGTTGCTTCTCGTGCTTGTGACCTAGACCATCTCTCACGGGAACAAGTGGGTTGGGAAGTGTGCCTTCGCTAGCAGGGACGCATCCAGAGAGTGCCACTGTAACATGACTGCAGAGACAGCTATCGCAGTTGAGCATGGAGGTCCTTCATAGCACGGTGCAGACCTGTCTTTACGATAGCTGCAGGCTTGCGCTGTGCGATTGGCGACGCTTTTCGGAGATTGGCCTTGGAGGCAGTCGCCAAGTGTTCAGAGACTGGAACTTAAGTCCAGAACGATGGTGCCATGCATGGGGGGCACTTTGCGTCGACAGCTATGCGATTACTGCTGACGGAAGCTCCTTCAATCAAACACCAGGCTGGGGCGATGATGCCAGACACCGAGTGCAGAAGGCGGTCTGAGTAAGCAGGAGTTGCCATGAGCAAACTTGACCCTGATGGCCAAAGCTTGTCAGACTTTGCAGGTCCTTGACCGGCTCGACGGCGGCCGTGCGCTGCCCAACGAAGAAGCCTACATCGACGCGATGCAACGGGAGTACCCTTGAGTAGTTGCAAAAAGCGGTTCTGCACAGTGGGGAAGGTTGTCTCTCGCTCCCAGCCGAAAACAGGGTGCACGAAGCAATTGCCGGTGTGCCGCCAGGCATCACGCAACTCCCGACTGCGTTCGTTGACACCGTGACTCGGCTTGGCCGGTGTTGCGACCATCCTTCACTTGCCCAAGCACGTCAAAATAGGACTACAGATACATGATGATCCATGTTAGTCAACAGCTGACAAACAATTCGACCTTCTCTTTACAAGCTGAGACGTGCATTGATTTAACACTGCACAGAACTTGAGGCTGCTGGCATCTGTGCACTGTATTCTGTGCAGAGCACGACAGGCCGACCCAGCGCGAGGTCGAGCGCGTTGCCGCCAGGGCCTTTGCTGCATTACCCGAAGCGACTCGGAGCGCTGAGCACAAGAGTACCGATTGAATAGCTGGTCCATCGGAGCCGTATAGCATGATCAACCATGAGCAGCAATCATCGGCCAGTTCCCTGTGCAGTTCTTGTATCTTCTTGCGTGATGTTGCGTAGACCGAGAGCCATAGCTGTGCCTTATTGCCTTATGCTTCGGGCCAGTCTGGTTGCTGACGTCTCATGTGGCGCTTGCAGCAAATCAGGCGAACAATGATGCCGACGTTTCCAGTGACAGTGAAGTGCTGGAGCTGGTCGAGCCAAGCTCCAAGATGGTTTGTACGGCCTTCTGCCCTCGAGGAAACTGTGGTAAGCTGAGCACTGGGCTCCCGGCAATGCTAGTGTGATTTCCGAAAATCCCAAAGGCTTGTGACTGAAGAGCCGGCATTTAGCCACATCGAGGATGTCTCATGCTGTCCGAACTGCCCACGCCCGGGTGAACATCCGAATCATCCGAATTCATGCTGTCACATTCTTGTATGTTCTTCATGCTGTTGACATGCTCTCCACGCCACTGCATGTTTTGTGCTGGAGTCTGATGGGGTTTTGTTGAGCTGATTGATCAGTGACATCTAACGCAAATTTTCTGGCCGCAGAAAATGTCAAAAGGGCTGGCTGACCTCTTGGTTAAGTGCTGCTTCGCGCCGCAGAGCGCACCGTGTTAGGACGGTGCGGAATCGGGCGACTACATGGAGCCATGAGGCCCACCGATGCCAAACTGCGAGCTTACTTCTTGAGTCTCGCATCCTCACCGTCCGATGGTGCACTCTAGGTCTCTAGGTTGCACTGCGACGCCCAGCTGCACGACATGTGCTAGCAATTCTTGCTTTCGCCGCGGTGGAGACACTGAGCCCAGCCAGGCTCACAAGAGCATCATGGAGAAGCTTGGCATCCAGCTTAACGAAGGCCACCCGTGCATTTCCCTCCTAGCCGTTTCACGAAGGTCGCTCTGGGTCAACCTGAGTCAACTTTTTTTGCTCAGCTACTTCATGTGGCGAGGTGTGGAGACCCGACTGGACTCATTTCATGGCCCGTGAGGTTCTAAGACGACTCAGCAGCATCTCTGGAGGTGCTGATGTTTCCTCTCCACGAGCGACTTTTCAAGTGCGACGCGGGGGGCTCAGCCAGAAAGCTGTGTTCCCCGTATCGTATGCTAGCCTGCCAGTGGTACTTTGCCTGCCCCATGCCGCTACTGTCCATCGAGGTTCGTCTTGCAGACCCTTGCTTTGTTCCAAACTCTGAATGTGCAGAGGCTCGGTGCAGTCTTAGGCTCAAGCGTCCTCGGGTTTTGATTGCGGACATTTCGCAGCCTTCCTCGGAGCCATGTCTCGCCCGGACCCAGCAAAGTCCGATTTCGATGCTTGGCACTTCAGTTGGACTGATGCTAGTAACTGCTGGTATGGGAAAGACAATAGCGGCCAATAGCGCCTGTGTTCTTCAGGCATGGGATTGGGTTCCGGTACAGTCATGTCATGGGCCAGATGGGGCCCTCGGCAACGTGGTTGTTGCATGTCGCGGAAAGCCTGATTGTCATTTATGTGAATCAGGCTTCAGGCCGGAAGTAGTCACGAAGCGACGTTTTGTTCAACGTCTCAGACCCTGCATCGTAGGTTCGTCCTAGCCGGGCGGGACAACAAAAATCAGGGCAGTCATATCGCAATAAGTGCTACGCACCGAGCAGAGGTGGCTTTCGTTGCATGGATGATGTTTCAGAATATAGCATCTAATTGGGAGTGCACCTCTGTAGGTTTGAGACCCCAGGTCTCGCTATGTCCCCCGCTGCACGTGCGCCGGTTGCCAGAAAGCCAAGGCCAAGATGGGCATGGAGAAGACCAACTTCATGGTTATTTTTCCTGTCATGCAGGTTGTCTTCTCACTTCCCGGGGTCATCGGGGCTGTCGTGGCGATCAGGCAGAGCCCCTTCGTGCAGGTGCCGTGCCGTACATCACCTCGAAGTGTGCCGCTGTCCATGGAAGCGCAAACTCACGACATCATGTGTTTCCTGACGAGGACCGGGTTGAGAGCATTGCGGCCATGAGCGCGGGCCCTTTATACCTTTCAGTGTTCGTCATGAGCCTCGTCGCACTTTGGTATTTGGAGTACTTTGGAGCCATGTCTGACAGCAGCCCACATCGCTGTTCCGGTGAGCACTATCCCAAGAAATGTCTGACCCCCTCGCGAGCACAGCAGGTAAGCAGGATTCTTGGAGTAAAGTCGGGTGACATAATCTGCCGTCCAAGACCTCGCTTGCATGGGCCCTTTCGGACACATTCTCCGAGCTCTTCAACCAAGGAGGTTTACACTTGCGCTGATTCAAGCAAGCCTTGGCAACGCCCGACGAGACAGTGGCATAAACGTGCCGGACCCTGGCTAGCAACGTATGCAGCATGCTCCAGGTCGTCAGGGAGCTCCTTCTGGTGAACATGTGTCCTGAATCTGAAAAATCATGTGGGTTTGGAAAGGGTCCGGCTGTCTCTGCAGGACAAGGGGTGTATACATGGTCCCGCGTCGCTGCGTCCAACCCCCCATGGTATGCCACCCCCCCTCCGCCCTACCCCAAGGCCAAGCCAGGTCTCTCATCCGAGTATTAAACAGTCACAGGGATGGTGCTCATCTGCATCATATTTCCCGTAACTGTCGACTCGCGCGCAATCTTCCCAACTTTGGGGGGGGGGGGGAGGGGGGGGGGCGGCCCCCCCCTTCCAGTTTAGTTGAAAAAATCGCGCTTGGCTTGTGACGTTCTCGCGAAAATTGTATCGACCGTTGTCATTCCACACCAAGTTTCGGTTGGGTTCGTTAAGCGTAAGCTTGAGAACGTGTTTGAATGAATCTCATTCGGGACTCTTGAGCAAGGGACCGGAGGAGAGTGCGGACGGAGATCATGATCACCATCTTCGTCATCATCATCACCACAATATGGTCATCACTATCATTGGCTTTGGAGTTCAGGGCAGGTCGGAGTTCAGTGGAACTGTATCATATGCTAAGGCCCAAACCCTTAGCAACTGGACACCAGCAACAGTAATGGAAGGGGGCGCCGCCAACCACAACGGGATACCATGGGTTTGGGGCGGAAGGGGGCCTAGCAGCGCTGCACCATACATTACATTGCAATGCTCGAATCGCCGGTTGATTGGAGCCTGCCCCGGTCCCTTGTTTAATCCGAACGGGGTTTGCAAGGCTTTCGAGTGTAGTCATGAGTGCTAGGTTCGAGGGTTAACTTCGCGTTTTTGGCCAGAACTTCACAGACCGGATGCAAAGACAGGATGCATTCATATGCCAAGTCCTGCCAAGTGCCACTCCCTGTGAAAATTGTGCGCTCCCTCATGCAAGCTTAGGCTTCGCAACCTGAAGGAAAACCCACCTTCTGAGCAGGACCAGCATGCGTACAAGGTGGTTGGCGGAACCGCTGATGGAGCACTGGTCGGGGCCATAAGAACGTGCAGGGTAAGATCAAGTATCATTGCTTGGAAATCGGCCATTTCTTCAGTGATAATGCGCGGACTATCAGGTCCTCATGGATGAATCAGAACCGTTCGGGCGTTTCAACCGTGCTCAACGTGGAGTCCAGAATCACCTGGAGCAGGCAGGCTGCGCAGGAGTCGGGGTGCACAACAACCCCAAAGTTGTATTCATCATTCCGACCCATTGGGTGAGTTCTCTTCTCTCCTCAAATTTCGCCACTGCCACATGGGCCTCGCAGATCTTCCCCATGGTCTTGGAGTTCGTCCTGTCTGGCTATGTTTTCCCTTGGACAACGGCGGCTCTGGCTTCTGTCTGGGCCATCCTCCGCTGCTGCTAGGAAGCAGAGCCCACATCCACGCCCCGCCGGGTGTTTTCAATAGGGCCAGGCAGGCCAGGATGAGGTGCAGGGCAGTTTGGTGGCATCAAGCAGCGCAGCGGAAAATGATAATGTCTAGAAGCTCAAATCGCGGTTTCATTGTCGGGTCAGAAAGCATCGTTTGATCCCGACCTCATTTGCAGGCTGGGGTGCTTTGTCGTACGCCAACGATCGCATGGCCCGGATCAAGGCATGCACTGCCCACTGAACCAGCTGTTTGTCACCATGTGAAACACGGCATGAGAGCTAGGCAGCCACTGCCTGTGGCCCTAAAAATCTTGGCAAGGGCAACCTCCCTTCCAATTTCTGCTTGGGCGCGATGGCGGGCATCGTCCTCACAATTGGAGTCTTCGCCAGCTTGAAGTGAGAGTGCACTTGCCCACGACAGGAGTCGAAATGTCGAGATGTGTCGCTCACTTGTTGGTCTAATATTTGATGTAATCATTGTAATCTGCCAGCATCTGTTCTCCAGAGCACACTGTTAGTACGTTTGAACCTCGCATGGCCAGCGAACCAAAAAGTAGGCCCTCAGCTACTGCAGCAGCCGATCACGTATCGGAGTTTAGGTAATTTGTCCATGATGTATTCAAGATTCAGCCTTGCAGTTGTGCGAAGCGTTTTAGAGAGACGATCAATGCCTGGACACTCGCAGAACGAAAGCGGCAAGAAAATGGACGCACTGCTCGCTTCGCCGTGTCTCTATCTATCCCGAGCTGTGCTCCAACGGGGAGGTTTTCAGATCGGGGGTGGAAAGCGAAAGAGTGAAAAGAGTGAAAATGCACAGAGCCGGACACCTCTTCGGCCACTTGAGCTTCGACTTGGTCACCTCCTCTTCACCTCCCGCCGTTGCTAGCATTGTTACTGTTCTCCCTTTGTCTGCAGCAGGGACACTTAAAGAAGTAAAGGGATGGAGGTGGCAGTTTGGGCAATCCCACTCGAAGCTACACTCGTGGCGGCGCCAGGTGGGAGTGCCGTGGTGTGAGCGCCATAGATTTTAAGCTGGGTTTTCCGCCTGAGCGGCCGCGTTGATAGGGCGGCCAGGATATGGGCAGACACAGCTGGCTAAGACATCTTACTTGCAGCGGCTGGCGGGCATCGAGTAAAGCAGCCCTGAATGAGCACTTGGCCAGCCGTGTAGGCTGATTCGCGACGGGCAGCTTGTGCTCCTTTCAATACTGCTCCTATCCATGTATCCATTGCTTGCAGAGTCCTCTCGCGGAGTTCGTCCGCACTCATTGGCTGAATCTGGCAACCACTGCATATGCAGGGGACAAGGGCAGCCGTGATGAGTGTGGCTTCAAAGCCGTGCAGCTTAAAGCCAGAAGCACCAAAGGCGGTTTCCTGCGACGGCAACCACAAAAGGCTCATTTCCCTATTTGTGAAGGTACTTTCGTCCTGCATGTTGGGCAACGAAACTTTGTGTCAATAGAATGTTAGGTGCGCTTGCACGCTTGTTAAAATCGCTTGCCACTGTGCCCGATGTACCCCCTTCCTGGTCACGTGGGGCCGTACGGTACTTACTTGCATTCGAGCAACTGGGAAGGCTTGTCGGCACATCTGAATACACAAGCTCGAGTGAAGGTTCAAGTCACCTACCTACACACAGCTACATTGCACGCACATCGCGTCCATCACGGAAGGCATGGTACCGATCCTGTTCCTGACTCGGGCGGCCACACTCGTCCTGCATGGATTCGGTTGGCACCCCCAGTCCTTGGTCGAGACGAAGCAGATGGATCTTGTGAATCACACAATACCCATGAACAAATCGCTGCGGTCAGGCCATGAAACGTTTTACACAGATCTACTGGACTTGACTATCTCACTTCAAGAGGCTAGGCTTTAAGTGCGCCGAGGCTCAAGGCCCCCCAAAAGCCCTCGCTGAGCCTCGCTCCGCTGTCCGTGGGCCGTCGTGGGCGGTCGCCGGCCCTGCATGTGGAGAGCGAGAGCCAAGGGCGTCAGGAAGGCCAGGAGATGATTGCCAGGGCGTCCCGGTGCACACTACTGAACCCTGTCTGCACCGGCAGCAGGTCGCGGTGGCAGATGGCTGTTAAGCATGGATACCTCGAGCCTGAGCTGCAGCCCACTTTAGAAAGGACGAGCAGTGACGGGACTCGAAGCGAATCGAAGAAAAGCCCAGGGCCGGCCCGGCTTCGCCCCCTGGCGGCGGAGCGCTCCTTGAGGCGAGAGTCTTCGGACTGCGACTGCCAGGTTTTGGGGGTCTTCGCTCTGCTCGCTGCAGAGGCGGAGCCCGCCGCTGAGGCACCACACGTGGTGGTCGCCGTGCGACTGCGGCCGCTGAGCAACAGCGACGTGTCACGGGCCCGGTCCGGTTGCTGTTGTAAGCTTGACAGGAGACTGGGAGACTTGTCTTGTGATTCGCTTTTGGAGACTTGTGTGAGCTTTTGGACCTCCCCAAAAAAAATCCCCCGAATTCCCGCAGACTTGCCTTTGTAGGCTTCGAGGAGACGGCATCAAGCATAGGATTGCGGTGGAGCCATGGCGGAGGACAGTCCCTTTTCCTGGGACTGGCATCGGGCACAGAGGATGGAGCTGACGCCCACGCAGCTGGAGTTGGAGTCCACGCAGCTGGATACAGTGGTGTCGTGACACTTGAAGCAGGTCTTGCCAACCTTCACGAAGTCGTCGAACACGAGAGCATGGACAATTCCTAGTTGCAGCATGCCTTGCGATCTCAGTTCTCGCGCGGCTTGCTGCCCAGTCTGTGCCAGGTGTTCTCGGAGTCGAGGACACCGATGGCCCAGGAAGTCCACGAAGTAGGCGCTGACTATCTAGTGCGTCCTGGTTCATAGTCAGCGCGTACTTCGTGGACTTCCTGGGCCATCGGTGTCCTCGACTCCGAGAACACCTGGCACAGACTGGGCAGCAAGCCGCGCGAGAACTGAGATCGCAAGGCATGCTGCAACTAGGAATTGTCCATGCTCTCGTGTTCGACGACTTCGTGAAGGTTGGCAAGACCTGCTTCGAGTGTCACGACACCACTGTGCGGTCGGCATTGGTCGCTAGGCTTCAGAAGTACCGTCAGGGAATGGGGACCCACGTCAAATTGACGCGCCTCCCGGTGCTCTTCGTTTGCAAGTCGGAGGCTCACGCGAAGCTGCTCGAGCACTACACGCATTGCTTCATGCGTGAGACCTGGCCCGAGAGCGTCTTGTCCTTGCCCTCTGACCCTGGCACCGAGAGTGGCCAAGAGACCTACAAGCTCGAGTGGCTCTCGACGATCGTGGACGTGCTGCATCGAAGCTCCCAGAGGAGCGTGAGTCAGCTGACTGCTGGCAAGAGCCTGATCTGCCAGAGGCAACAGAAACGATACAATGGACGAGCCTAATCACAGTGCTGATCTCTGAGAGATTGGCGAACACCCCTCTTGCCAGATTCACTCATCTGGCCAGTCTCGATCTCTTAGAGATTCGCGACTACAAGTTTTGCCAGACTTCCTCGTCTGGCCTCCGAGCAGCACTGCTCCTGGCTCCGTGTTGTACAGTAATCGAGCCACACACAAGGAGTGCCCAAGGCAACCAAGGGGGCCTTGCGAAGGCGCTCCCTCTTCCGGGACCATGTGGGAACTTCCGAGGTCGAGGCCCGAACATGAACAAACTCAAAGTGAAGAGGCCCAATATGTCACAATATGTCGAGGACAGGAGTGGCTAGTGACGAGTGACTAGTGACTAGCGCTGCTGCGACGCGGTCCCCCGGAGCCGGAGGCCCTCAGCTGATGTGCGCGCCACCGCCAGCAGCCTTGCTTGCGACTTATACAGTCAAAGGCCTGTAAATATGACCATCGCTCGTAGCCAGGATGTGCAGTTGGGAAACGGGAAATCCCGCCGAGGTGATTCCTTACAAGGGCCAGGCTTGCCTGCAAGGGTGAAGCTCTGGATGTTCTTTTCCTTCGCGCCTAGCATCAGTGTGCGCCCAGAATCTGGAACAGGAGTCGACCCGAACCGGCAGCCAGGAACACCGCTACAACTTTGACCACGTCTTCGATGAGGATACAACTCAAGCCAAAGACTCAGAAACAATCGGGTAGTTGGCCGCTTAGCCTCCTAAAGCAAGCTGGTGTACTGTTTCATGCCTCAACATTTTGGCGGGTCGGTTGGTGGGTCGCGGTTTTCCACGATTCCAGCTGGACGGTTCCTGGCCCCTCGGTTCCGGTTTGAGGTTCGGTTTGCAACTTCCTTGAACGTGATGTGGCTCCAAGAAAGGCAACTGAGGCAAGTGGACGCACCACCTTTTTTGAGGCTGGGTGATCACTTAGTTGGCGTTCCAGCATGCGGGGCAAGGGGCGCAGCATTGCAGGGACGAGCTGGCCGTCGGAAGGTTGCATGAAGTTAGATCACGGTAGCGGCAAGGGAATTCGATTTCCGATTCCGCAAGAGTCTCGAGAGTGAGTGCCGCAAAGCATGGCAAGGAAGCGGTGTTCCTGACTCTCGGACAGCCGCAGCTCGCAAAGGCTTCCGAGTTTGGCATTGAAACGTGCAGGGGCATGAGTATTGTGTTGCACGGCAATCTGACATGCTCATGTGCCGATACCTGCTCGGAGGCTTTTGAGGGCTACAACAGCACGATTTTCGCTTACGGCCGCTGGCTCATCATTCCACGTGTCGACGTGGTTCAAGGTTGCTAGTTCCTGGCTTGACCTCGCCAATCAAAGCTGCACGCTCTGCATTTGGGAGCCAGACACCAAGTGCAACTCCTCATGACGCCGGTTGAGCAGATGCTTTTGCATACCAAGGCCAGACTGGTAGTGGGAAGACATACACTATGCTGATGCCCATCTGCAGTGGTTCTTCAGCTCTTTTGGACTGAAACGTTTCGAATTATGATCGGGTCTTCGATAACACCTAGTCCTAGCTTGAAACAGAAGAACTTGTCAGTGATAGTATTCATAGGCATTGTCTTTTCGGACTCTTGGACAAACTCCTTCAGATGCCTGGCGAAGCACGGTCGGCTTGCGTCGGCTTTGGTGGTTGTAGCAACCAGCAGTCGGACAAGGCTTCCTCCGTGTCATGCAGGCCTTCCGACTCTGCTTACGGCTTTGCTTATACTCACCAACTTGATTGTGGAAATGCGAAATACAGTTTCCATGAGCACTAAGAACCAGCATCCAGCCCGACCGTCTTTGCCAAGTTTTTCTCGGCCAGTAAGAACTTGCTGAGGAATGTTGAGAGCGACCGAGGTCACATTGCCTCTTGGAAGAAGCCAGATTTTGGTGCAGTGTTGTTTTGCGGCGGATGGCTAAAGCATGATATAGCACAACATCAACGCTGTTATCGTCATGGTCGGTGCTACAGGATCTGGGCCTCATTCCGAGGATGAGCAGCAGCTTGTTCCAGCGAGTTGCCGAGGTTCCAGCGTAATCCGTGCTTTGAGTTTGTCCGCCAGCCAGAATGCACTGAGCAGTGGCTTCTTGAACATGTCCTGAAACAGGCAAGCAACTTGAGCAAGACAAATCGGTTTTTGGTGCAATGCAGCTTCCTGGAAATCTACAATGAGGCCCATGCTTCAGGAAGCGATTCGCAGAACCTTCCAGCCAACCCGCATGCTCCAAGACCCGTGTTGCTGTTGGGCTGTTGTAATGCGAAAACTTTGCCACGCCCACTCTCTCGGAGCAGGTCATCTACGACCTGTTGACACCGCGGAGCTTCGGCCCAAGTGGACTGGATTTTCGCAAGCATCATGACCTCGCAACCAAGCCTATCATCACCTTTGTCTTGAGGTCGTGCCAAAGGCAAGGGATTGGAGATTCGGGAGCAGAAGGCGGGTTCGCCTTTGTGGTCACTCACGTTGGGAAGCAGGCTCAGTTGCAACAATTGGGCATTGTGACAAGCTTGGTTAACAGCCATGGCCACCGGTATTGTTAGACAGGAGTCCTCCGCTGCGCTCAGTGACCAAAATGGAAGCGTTTGGCTCGCTCTCGGGTACCGGGGACTGCGTTCTTGGATTGCAGACATCAGCTTGGCAAAGCAAGCAGGGGACACCAATACGCGACCCTCCTTGTAAGTCTTTGAGATTTGCAGCAAGTGCAAAAGCGCTGCAAAGCTGAAGCTCTGGCTCACATTCTGACCCCTTCCTGCGATGGAGCCAGCTTCGCCCACGTCCGAGAGCTCCTCATGGAGCCTCAACTATCCTCAACTTGAATTCCACACCCAGGATGTCCAATTCAGGTAGTCTTCGCCTTGTGTAGAAGCTATTCCCGGATTTACATGTCTGAGCTAATAATTACAAGTTCGGGTATATCACCGGTGGCATCATCTCCTAGACTATGGCCCCGCCTTGGCAAAGGAGCGATGCGAAGAAGGCGTTGGAGCGACAGAGTACTCGGGCTCTGGCATGGGGTCCCTTGTTAGCAATGTGTGGCACTGTGCGCACAGCCAAATGAGTGGGGACGTAAACCATGGAAGAGCTAGCCCGACTAGAGACGGCAAAAACAAATGGGCGCGCAAGCACGATTGCAACAGTCGCATGTGCATAAGGCTTGCACACCGGTTGCTTTAAAAGCCGATGCACAAGAGGTGTATCTTGAGATCTTGTATACACGACGACGATGACGACGACACTGCTACTGTTTCTGCTACTCCTATTCCTACTCCTACCCCTCCTCCCACTCCTACTACTGTACTGAGTTGTTGCTTTACTGTTTTGTTTGGGCTCCATTGTGACCAAGTACCAGTTGAGTTCCGGCGCAGCTGTCATTGGCATGCCATGTGGGTGACAAAACAACAACTACTAGTACTACAACTACTCCTGCTATTACTACTACTGCTACTACTACTACTACTACTACTACTACTAGAACTACTGCTACTTACTACTACTACTACTACTACTACTACTACTACTACTACTACTACTACTAGCACTACTACTACTACTACTACTACTACTACTACTACTACTACTACTACTACTACTACTACTACTACTACTACTACTACTAGAACTACTACTACGACTACTACTACCACTACAACTACTACTACTACTACTACTACTACTACTACTACTACTACTACGACAACAACAACTACAACAACAACAACTACTACTACTACTACTGCTACTACTACTACTACTACTACTACTACTACTACTACTACTATAGTATTGGTATACTACTATTACTGCTACTATTACTACTTCTACTAATACTACTAATACTATTACTACTACTACTACTACTACTGCTGCTACTACTACTGCTCCTACTCGTCTTACTCCTGCTCCTAGTCCTTCTCCGTTTGCTATTGGAGTACCAGTACTAGTACCAGTACTGCCTGTACAAAGCACAGTTCCGAATGCAGCCCAAATCAGTTGCGAGTCAAACAAGGGGCTCGCAATGGGCACACTTTGAATTTGAACAATCCCCTCTCACTTTTGTGTGACAATCCTTAGCAACCTGGGCGCTCAAACCCAAGCCATGGATTCTAGACGGGAAACCCACTCAAGTCCTTACCCCTAAAGCCTTAAACCAAATTGTACATTGGAAATCCACCGGAAGTCCCTACCCCTAAGGCTTAAATCGAATGCTAAACTCGAAGCCCACCCAAAAATCGAGCAGGCTCTGATTGGAAATCCACCCCTTTTCCCTACCCCAAAGGCATTAAAGCGGATTCCGGACTTGGATCTTTGCTATAATATGGAGCCTCGAAGACAAAATCTTTACCATGGCTACGGACCATTCTGAAAATGCTTGTTTTCAGTACGAAAACCCTCTTCCATGCTATTACTTTGGAGCCTTCCTGGCCAATCTTATGGACTGCTGCCATAAAGGTTTCCTTTCCGCAACATCCTTGACCTCGTAGCCTTGCCACAGCACTGTAAGTTGCAAATCGCTTTAGTGGAAGAGAACCTTAGGAGACTGGGTTTCAGTCCTGCACAAAGGTTTGTATTCGTCCAAGGATTGACAAACAGTTTCACCGCCGCTCAAGCGGCATCTACGAATTAGTGTTTGCATCTTAATCTCGTGCAGGAATTTCACCTTGTACTTACAGTTGAAACTGTCAGCCAACTTTGGCATCGTAAGATCATGAACTGTGACCAGTAGTGCTACGGTTTGGTGTGATGGTGTTGTGTTTGTCTCTTTCCCCGGCCGACTTCCCAAACCAAGTGTGCTGCTAGGGCTAGGTTCGCATTTGCGGCATATGCGGGAGGCAAAAAATTTGCGGCATATGCTCAGGCGCTTCGATCCGCGAGTACAACCAGAAGAAGGTCGAAAGAAGCATGTCCTCGACACAGACGCAGCTTGCCTGCAGCCGGGTTTCGGGAACTTGGAGCGGCAGGCAGCGAGAGTAATTTTACCCTCAGCCTATTGAGGTCACAGACTACCAAAAAGAAGTCCCGGGTGCGATCAGAAGCCAGGGACTCGGCAGCCGCCTATGCTATGGCTCCCATTCCTGGCTTCGGAAGTGCTCAATCGGTTAGTGTGGTGGACGGCATACTTCGGGTGAAAGTGTTGTCTGCGGACTTCAGAGCCTCTCGGAGGGGTCTTCTGTAAAGCTCGTCTCAAGCATTGCAATGATGGGGGGGACTTCCAAGACAATGGTCAAGGGGAGCGGCTTTGTGGCTGGAGCACAAAGATACGAGTGACGAGTGACAACGGCACGGCAAATGCTCCCTGCGAAAATTCGAACCACGCCCACGCCCACGGCAAGAGCGGGATGTCCATGTTTCAAGAGGCCAAGTACTTGGACTTGTTCGCACGCGCACTCCTGTCGTTTCGTGCGTTCTGCAGGTTTTGTATACAGTATGTTTTTGGCGATGTGGTCTGCGTTTGGGGCTTCAGACCTCCAGGGGTTTTCAGGGAGTGTTTCGGGGGGTGAGTGGGAGGGATGGTTTTGCGTATGTTACCATGTGAGCAATGTCGTCCCGTACCAGAGGCGCCTGTGCGCCGCGTTCCAAGTTATAGGATCGCGACACAATTTTCAAACTTTCGCAGATGAAGATTTATCAACGGCATATCTCCAAAGTGTAGAGTCGTCGAGATGGAAGTAACGAAGCCGATGCGAAACAATCCACAGCAGGAAGTATCTCAAAATCAGAGGCGTGTAATCCACACTGCCGAAAGCTCGATAAACAGAAGGTAATCGATTGACTGCCAGTGCGTATACATGTTACACACACACACACACAAAACAAATCGAAAATCATCATCGCGCAATTATCATGCCTGCGTAGCCGGCGTAGCCTTACTAAAAGCTGGAGAAGTTTGCCGAGGTCGCGAGGGTACCGACAATGGCAGAAGCTGGAAAGAATGTACCGCGTGCTACACTCAAACGGAAAACCTCGTGAAACGACAAGATCAGTGAAACGGTGTCACGCCATTTGCTGCTTGCCGTCGATCGCAGAATCTAGCGAAGAAACCCTGGAGAGGATCATGTTGCGTGTGGTGCCACGTGTTAGAAGTTGTTTCGAAACTCGCATGAAGCACGGGTGCCGCTAAGGCACAGGAACAAGCCTCATGCTGTCCTATACACGAGAATCTCCCCCACAAGTCAGGATTTCGCAAGCCATATTGGGTGCAGAGACTATATAGGCGAGCTTCAGTGGTAGCTTGCAGAACTACCGCATGGCAGACTGCAGACTGTCGCAGTCGTCGCAACGACACCAGCGTACCACTGCCTGCTTGTCACCAGTGGCCCATGCTGAGATTGAGACCTACTTGCGGAGATATCTATGCTTCTGCTTCGGTTCTGGAGAAGGACGCTGTGAGGTTGCGCATTGAATGAAGAGTTTCTGGGTTCTTGCCAGAAGTTTCGCTTCGGGTGGTGCGTGTCTTGGAGTGAAGTCATCTCCTGCCATGACACCGCATCCCGAAACTCCACGGGCCGCTGGTTCGTTGAACGCCCTTGTCAGGAGAGCTGCCTCAAGCCGCACCTTTGCCGAGATTGTTCTGTGTCCTTCTGCTTCCGACTGCACAGATACCCGGATATCCCGGATATCTCTGATTGTAGATGGTTTGCTTTATCCGGGATGCTCCAGAAGTTGGCCGGAGTTTCATAATGCATGCAGCCGACGCCAGCAAGCTACACTGTCACTGCTACCGCCTCGGCCCGGCTAAGGAAGCGGGTAGACGTAGGCTTAAAATTGCAGGTGACCATCGCGACCGATGTGGAAGACCTGAAGCAGAGTGTTCGGCAGAAGATCTCTAAGCAGACCTATTCTGTGAAGGTGCATGAGGGGTTATTCAGCGATAGTGTTCGCAGTTCGCAGGCTGTTTACAGAAACTGTCCGGCGGTTTAGCTGTCACGGATGAATAGCTTCGATGCAGGATTTCTACAAGTCGAAGGGCATCTTCCAGCGGATCGCGAAGAGCAACTACTTCGAAAACTTCACACTCTTCATCATTGGAGTCACTGGGCCGTGCTGTATTTGTGCTCCCGAGTCGCATCTATCATCTACCCATCAGGCCCTCGTTGCTCCGCTCCACACGGTTTTGAGCTTACTGCGATGTCAACTTTGGAGAGATTCCTCAGACCACTCGCAAAGTTGGAAGACATTGTTTCTGTACCTGCTCTGCAGACAAGATTAAGAAGTTGTTTTAGTCAGCTATTGTTCGAAGCTCTCGATCCCTCATACGTACCTGCCCAGTAGAGAGCTGTTAGTCATAGCTGCATCAGTTTCTCGCAGCCACCATTGCCGTTGCAAGGTGAATTCGTTGTGGCCCCTTGCCCGCATGTAGAGAAGGGGAGGGAGAAAAATACAAAGAAAGGGAAGGAGAGGCATGGGTCAGGTCTTGCATCAAGCTATAGTGGATTAAC